GAAAACCAGCCTGCAGCAAGAGTGAGACCCCGTCTCTAGCTATAAATAGTGAAAGAAATTAATTGGGCAACTAATATATATATAGAAAAAATAGCGCGAGCATGGTGGCGCATGCCTGTAGTCCCAGCTACTCGGGGAGGCTGAGGCAGGAGGATTGCTTGAGCCAGGAGTGTGAGGTTGCTGTGAGCTAGGCTGACGCCACGGCACTCACTCTAGCCTGGGCAACAAAGTGAGACCCTGTCTCCAAAAAAAAAAAAAATTATAAGCAATAGTGAATCCTGTAATGGAAACTATATATTTTTTTTTAATTTTTTTTATTTCGGCATATTATGGGGGTACAGATTTTAAGGTTTCAATAAATGCCCATTTCCCCCCCTCCCCCTGGAAACTATATTTTGAACTTAAGCATTGAATATATAAAATTCAAGTTATGAAAACTTATGTATGGTGATAAATGCTTTAGATTCTTTATACATACATTATAGTTTAGATACCTCAAAATCTTATTAAACTCTGCATATGTATTCTGTCGAGAATACAGATGTTATAATTCTAATCATTATGATTATAAAATAGTATATGCTTCCAAATAGCAACATCTTTGAGCACACATTTTTCAGAGTACTTCAATAACATCTTGTGGCTGTCAAGTCCCATTGTGTAAAGTCTTACAACTAAGTAAAAGCACTGTTGGTATATTCAAGGTGCTCATTCCCAAATGACATGACAGGTCTGCTGACAGAGGAGAGGACACACACTGGGGGTGGGGGTGGGGTGTATGTTTGTGTATGTACACATACATGTATAAACAGAGGAGGGAAGAAGCATGAATACCGACAGATGTTAATGATCTCAACAGGGAAGAAGCATTAGCACACTCATTCTTCCTGTATTGCTAATTGTGGAACAAACAACTCATGCTTTAGGAAGGGCCTTGATCCCACTGGTAATACATGAATATTGAAAGAAGCCAGTCCAAGAGTACAAAAATCAAATTAGCAGCACAAAGTCAACCACATGACATATACTAGTGACACTAATGAAAGAAAGAAAAAAAGCTGAGGCCAGAGGACATATGACTCAGGAGTTAAGTAAATAAAGAAACACACAAAATTTAAAAACTCTAACACACGTACACACATGCATTTACATATACATATAAATGGATCTTATGGATTTTTAGTAAATGATCCTTGAGAATACCTCACTGGTAAAATGGATATCTGAGCATTTTATAATGTGATTTTGTGAACGGTAGCAGGTTTTTTCAGGAGTACCTACATATAGCTCATCAAAACAGGTAACTCTTCTTCTATGTTCTTCCCCTTTGAATACATGTGTTAGAGAGAGAAGAACCTGATAATTGTTTCAAGAGATAACTTATAAGACAGTTTTATATTGAAAGATTCAATTCAAAGCAGTGCTGTCCTAAAGTCTGATCTAATACAGTTGATATGGGGAAAATCTTACATTAGAAGTTTCTGTTGAGGGAGAAGGTAATCAGAAAGATCCAGAAAGATTGACTACAATGTTGGATTGGATGAAGTGCAAGGTTGGTTCTAGAGTGTGGAAAGGGGAAGAAGTATTGCGGAGGTCAAAAGAAAAAAGTGAAATGTTGGTTTTGGAGCTGTAGGGGAAAACAACTTTGGTATTAAAATGAAAAGGAACAAGAGACATGTAGACAGGATTTGGTTGCTGACAAACTTCCTTAGAATCCCTTGGCAGATTTGACTAAATGCACAGAAAAAGTATATTCACAATGGAAAAGAAAGGCTGTAGATACCACATGATTCATACAGGTGAATGAATTATCCAATTACCTGAGGAGGTAGGGTCTTCAGAGAAATCTGGCAACTCTTCAGGGGGATCCCCATAGAATGAGTTGAATTTGTGACTTGACACAGCCGCTAGTACTGCACCCTAAAGCAAAGAGGTGAAAAGTATTTTATTAAAATAAACAAATATACAAATATAAAAAGGTTAACTATTTATTTATCTTAAGGATTACTAAGAAAGTCAAATATATAGGAGATGATGGCTAGAAGAGAGGTAGCTCTTAAAATAATTTTAAATTCCTTTAAATAAATTACATATGCATATACCAGAATAACACTGTTGGGAACTGGTGAACTCAAACAAGTACCACAAAATGGAATATTCTGTAGTCATTATAAAATAATGCTGCAGAAGGATGTTTAATGAAATGAAAAGATGCTTGTGATGAATTACGTAAGAAAAGGCTCTAAAAATGTATAGTATGAGGCCGGGCGCGGTGGCTCACGCCTGTAATCCTAGCTCTTGGGAGGCCGAGGCGGGCGGATTGCTCAAGGTCAGGAGTTCAAAACCAGCCTGAGCAAGAGCGAGACCCCGTCTCTACTATAAATAGAAAGAAATTAATTGGCCAACTGATATATATATATAAAAAATTAGCCAGGCATGGTGGCTCATGCCTGTAGTCCCAGCTACTCGGGAGGCTGAGGCAGAAGGATCGCTCGAGCCCAGGAGTTTGAGGTTGCTGTGAGCTAGGCTGACGCCACGGCACTCACTCTAGCCTGGACAACAAAGCGAGACTCTGTCTCAAAAAAAAAAAAAATGTATAGTATGATCTCATTTTTGGAAAAAAGTTAATATACATAGACTGAGCATACATCAAAATGCTAGTAGCATTAATTATCTCAGGATGGTAGGATTATGAGTCATTTTTATTTTTTAATCTTTTTCTCCCCCTTTCCTTTTGTTTTTAACAATGACTATGTTTTACTATGATTATGAGTCATTTTTATTTTTTAATCTTTTCTCCCCCTTTCCTTTTGTTTTTAACAATGACTATGTTTTACTCTTGTATGGTAATTCTCCATCAGGCCACAGATCAGAATCAACCACATGTGACTCTTTTACGCCACATGCATGTCTCCCCTGATTCCTAGTTGAGAATCACTGTCATATTGAGTGCAGACATCCCTTAGAACTGTTGAATGGGAAAAGGTTGAAAGTTATTGTTTTAGTAACAGGAAGAATGATAAAATTTCTGAGTTTGTTCCCTAGCTCTGCCACTTTCCAGGTACATGACACTGCTTGAGTAAATCATTGAGGATCTCTAAGTTTTCATATCTGTAAAGTGAAGATATTAAAAGTGATATAACCTATCTTACAGGATTGTCAAAAGTCATAAGGTAAATGGAAGTACTTTACAAACTGTAAAGCATTTTGTAAATGCAAATCATGACTAACCTTACTAATATAGAGCTAGAATATATGAGTAGGGCCTTTTGCTGGTCTATGTAGAATTGCTCATTTAGGTAGTTTAAGTATCAAATTACCTAAGTAGTCTTAGTCTAAATTTTAAATATTGAACTCTTGGATTTTTCTGAAAATAAAGATAAATCTTGAATGTGTTTAGGCATTTGTTAATAAACACACAAAAACATTAATAAAATACATTTCTACAAAGTTTACTTTTTTGGGGGTCATGTTAGAGTTTCTTTCTATAAATGTAAATTGAAAAACAGACTATAGAAAGGGAAGAGCAAGAAACAAAGAAGTGATCTTGAAACTACCATTCCAGGCAACTTTTGAGATTTCCCAAAGTCCAAGGTTAATGCGTAAGAGGTTCTTATACAGAATTATAGATACCACATTGAAAAAACAGTAGTGAATGTTGAGTTCTTCTTTCTATAGAAGAAGCTTATTTCACTTTACATATTAGACATGTTCCCTAAAAGTTGGGTGGGAATAGAATTTTTATATATCGAATCATGTTTCCCGTACATTGAAACTAGACTTTTAGAGATGCTTTATTTTTATTTACAAATGAAGTTCAACTGAGCTTCTTAAGATGTTAGTTTTATGTTTCAAGGCCTGTTCTAGCTACTACTATAGTCAAAGATCTACAAATAAATACTTATACTACTAGGAAAACACTATTTAAAAGCACCCTAAGTGGTAAATTATTTTGAAACAATAGCAGCAAGTTCCTAATTTATGTGTCTTATGGCTAGTGATTTTGTTTATTTAGTTCTCCAAACTCAGTGAACTACATATGGCTTGAATATTCAATGTAAAGTTATTATGTAAACCAGCAAAACAGTTCTAAAATAGTTCACAGATTCATAGAATTTTATTAGAGTTTGAGAATAACCTTAGAGATGAATTATTCTAAGAGGCTCGTTTTGCATATCAGGAAACTGAGGTCCAAAGAGGTTTAGCAACCTGTTAAGGTTGCTGCCTACTTAGAGACACAATCAAGAGTAGATAGAATTGAGGTCCATTGACCACTCTCCCCAGTACAAGGATTTCTACTATACCAGGGGTCAATAATTTTTTTCTGTAAAGGGTCAGACAGCAAACATTTTAGGCTCTGAAGTCCACATGGTCTCTTTTGCAACTACCCTATGCAGCATGAAAGCAGCCATAGACAATATGTAAATGAATGTACATTACTGTGTTCTAATAAAACTTTATATACAAAAATAGGCAGTGAGCTGGATTTGGCCCCCGGGTTGTAGTTTGCCAACCCCTGTACTACACTATTGCTATTGAAGAGCTGGTGAGTATAACAATATAAAATCAGATCTTACACAAGTGGTTCTTCTTTTTGATTTATTAGACTCTTGACAAGGAAGTTTTCTGCTTTAATTTAGAAGGTATACTTTAGTATGCTTTAAGAGTGAAACATCATAATTTTGAGTTAAGAAGTCTATGCATAATTTGTTAGGATAAATAACATTAAATTTGCAATGCTCTACAAAGCAAATTAACTTATATTCTAAATTCAGAGAAAGAAGAACTATAAGTAATTCTTTTTTTTTTTTTTTTTTTGAGACAGAGTCTTACTTTGTTGCCCAGGCTAGAGTGAGTGCCGTGGCGTCAGCCTAGCTCAAAGCAACCTCAATCTCCTGGGCTCAAGCAATCCTCCTGCCTCAGTCTCCCAAGTAGCTGGGACTACAGGCATGCACCACCATGCCCGGCTAATTTTTTTAATATGTATTAGTTGCCAATTAATTTTTCTACTTTATAGTAGAAACGGGGTCTCGCTCTTGCTCAGGCTGGTTTCGAACTCCTGACCTGGAGCAATCTGCCTGCCTTGGCCTCCCAGAGTGCTAGGATTACAGGCGTGAGCCACCGCGCCCAGCCTATAAGTAATTCTTAAATTAATCATAATTATAGTTTTCTTTTTTTTTTTTTTTTTTTGAGACAGAGTCTCACTCTCTTGCCTGGGCTAGAGTGCCGTGGTGTCAGCCTAGCTCACAGCAACCTCAAACTCTTGGGCTCAAGCAATCCTCCTGCCTCAGCCTCCCAAGTAGCTGGGACTACAGACACGCGCCACTGTGCCCAGCTAATTTTTTTTCTATTTTTAGTTGTTTGGCTAATTTCTTTCTATTTATAGTAGAGACAGGGTCTCGCTCTTGCTTAGGCTGGTCTTGAACTCCTGACCTCAAGCAATCCTCCCGCCTTGGCCTCCCAGAGTGCTAGGATTACAGGCATGAGCCACTGTGCCTGGCCTATAATTTTCTTGAAATGTCAATATGTCACACACCAAAATGAAATGCTTCTGGCTAGATGATTCTGTGTGGCATTTAAGGAAGTAGAAAACAAGAAAATGGTTAGCTCAGACTTCTACTAAGTTAAATTACTGAATGTACTTGAGGAAGCAACAAAATTATTGAGGAACACAAGAGTTGAACAAAGATGTATTACTGACTTGAAGACAAAAGCAAAAAAACCAATACTCTCTTTTTGCTACTCCCTAAATAAGCTCAGAAACAAGCACAAGTCTGACAGGCACAAGGGCAATAAGGTCCATTTAAAAAAGTCTAAATACAAAATACATAAGAATCATCCTATTAGGATTCAGACACTGAACTCAAAGCCTTAAAAAGGGTGGAGAATTTGGAGAGGTTGAGACTGAACAGAGATGACTAAAAGGCTAGAAAATTATTTCAAGGTAGAAATGTTAAAGGATTTGGGTTGATTATATTTAAGAATTAGGTCCTAAATGATAATTAGGTGAGATCACTGATTAAATCAGAACTTCTGATATCTTTCCACACAGTCACAACCAAAGTTATCATCCAGTTTAGTGTCTGCCTAGCCTATATATATGTGATATTCAAACATATTCTAAACACAGGTCTAAAACCAGGAATTTAATAACATCCAGTCAGGATATATGACTAAAAGAGGCTGTACTATCCTCTCTAAAGAAAATGAAAAATGAGGCTGGGTGTGGTGGCTCACACCTGTAATCCTAGCACTCTGGGAGGCTGAGGCGGGCGGATTGCTCAAGGTTAGAAGTTCGAAACCAGCCTGAGGAAGAGCGAGACCGGGTCTCTACTATAAATAGAAAGAAATTAATTGGCCAACTAATATATATAGAAAAATTAACTGGGCATGGTGGCACATGCCTGTAGTCCCAGCTACTCAGGAGGCTGAGGCAGCCAGATTGCTTGAGCCCAGGAGTTTGAGGTTGCTGTGAGCTAGGCTGACACTATGGCACTCACTCTAGCCCGGGCAACACAGTGAGACTCTGTCTCAAAAAAAAAAAAAAAGAAAAATGAGACTTTCAGGTGTACTAGACATGGCTACATTTATGAGCAATTGCATGGAATATCTATGATATGGGTATCTTAGAAATCCTCTTGAGTCTGTATAAAAGTATTTTATAAAGATGGTCTTAAAAGGTACATGATAACTTTCAAAGGCTATGTTGCCCCAACAGGAAGTAATAAATTCTATATTTCAGAATCACAAATTAACAGAATTGCTTTGTAAAATCAATATAGGAAGATCAAAATCACTTACATTGTTATTTGTGGAACTGTTCATACCAGAAAAACAGTTTTCAGTTTTTAGAATCAAAGGTACCTTTTGGATACCAGATTTAATACTCTGATTAGCTGGAGCCCACAATAATTGCTGTCCCAATTTATTGCCTTAAGTATAAATCCTCAAGTATAATCCTTGAGTATAAATCCTCACTACAGAGGACTGTAGTAAATGGTGGGTTTCATTAAGGCACAAAGGTCTTGGATAAATCTTTATGTTAGCTCTTGTTGAATTAATAGAAAGGGGAAGATTGCCAAAAAGCAGACATTATAGCTTCCTGGGTGACTTCAAAAGGTGCTGCTTAGGTATAAGCATTACTTTTGGAGGTACCAAGATTCCATATAGCAGTACTGTACAATAGAACTTTCTATGATGATAGAAATGTTCTTTACTTATACTGTCCAATACAGTAGTCATCAGTCACATGTGGTACTGAGCATATGAAATGTGGCTAATACAATTGAGAAATTAAACTTTAAATTTTATTTGATATTAATTTATTAAAATTAAAATGTAAGTAGCTACATATAGCTAGTGGCTACTGCAATAGATAGTGCAGCTTTATAAAGTACTGGAAAACAGCACTGCTAAACAAAGCTTTCCTAGTTATGCACAGTTCAGGAATGCAAGAGACCAATCAGTAAGTCAGAGAAAACTTTTGCATTTTACAAAATCAATAAAGGAAAATTGTAGAAAGTTATTGGAAATCCTTGCTTTCTGTATATATAGGGAATAAATGGTTTTTCTCCTCTTAATTGAATCACATGGGCTCAACTCACCATTTTCTAAACTGATTACAATAAACTTACCCAAATATAGAATATTGCATCTATTTACAGAGAATTTCTTCAACATACTTCACTGTGGGGAAATTTGCTTTCTAGGAGTAGAAATAATGGATGAAGCAATGGGGATGACTTCTAGAACAGATTCTCTCCTGAACCTCTTCTCTAGATAGACAAGCTCAAATACTCAGACACCCCTTTGCTCAGTAACTCCTTCGGTAGATGACACCCAGGATTAGAGTGCAGGTGTGCCCCCTTAAGGGTCCCATACCCACAGAGGACAGATTTACCACACAGCCTGAAGATCACATAGTCTGCCCCATGCATCCTAATACTCAGTTTGAGAAAATATGATCCTCATATCTAGTTCTGTGATCAGGAACTATGTACTTTATTAAAGGAAGTATTGTTTCCAGAATATTTTTTTTTTTTTACTGAAGTATTAAAATTCTAGAACTTAGTATGAAATAAAAGGAGGAAAAAACCTAACACATAAAATGTCTGGTAACCAAAATGGGGAAAAGAAATTTTCTATCATCATTCTATCATGACTAAGTAACAAAAGTAATTTTCTACTGTTTTTTGTGAACTTCCTTTTCAATCACTTCCAAGGGAGTCATAAAAATTAGGCTGTCACCCACTACTTGAGGAAGTTAAAAACATTGTCTAGGTAGAAGGATGAGCACCTAGCTGCATGAAAATAAAGTGTGTGGTGGGCTCAGAAAGCCAGGGAAGTTGTAATCTCTGTTCTAAAAGACTGCAGAAGCGTCGGAATTAGAATTAGCTCCTTGAGGATGGTCAGTATAACATGTTTTAACATGGTGCTTGAACAACTCAAAGGAATATAGCCTTACCAAAAGCTGAAAACATTCAATAACCCTGCTGATGTTCCTAATTCTAGGTTGTTTGGTGAGTCTTAAAACTTTAAATAGTCCTACAAAGGGATGTGGTAAATCCACACATGACCCCTCTCTGCTGTGACAGCTTGGCCCTGTCCAAATGAATCTTAGTCACCACTTTGGCTATTTTAGGCCCAAGTCTGATTTCGTGGCACTGAGAGAAGTACAGCGTGTGTTTCTTGTGATGGGGCAAGCCCAAGCCCTTCTTGGGCAATGAAAAGTTCAACCCCAGATAGTGCAATGTCACATGAGGCCAAAGAAGCATTAGAGTTAAAAAGACTTAGGGAATAGATGAGAAGTATAATTAATAGTTTCCTTGGGGAGGGGACTAACTTCAAAAACAGCTGACCAAATTTCACTTTGGATAATAAGATTTTTTTTTTCTTTTGTAGGCTAATTCTAATTCCGAACACTAGTTCAAGCAGATATCAAGGCAATAAAAAAAAAAGTCTTGTGAAACTTCTTCAGGCACCATCTCAGTAATGGCATATAATTAATAATTATTTTTTGCCAAGGATTTTTAAAACAAATATAGAAGAACCAGTTTGAACTGCAAAAACAACTATGTCCTAACTGCAAAAACAACTATGAGAAAGGCTAAAATGGGAATATATCAACACCAACAATGACAATGTTAAAACTTCTCTTATTCTACAGTAGTACTATCCAATAGAACTTTTTATAATGATGGAAATCTCCTATATCTGTGCTGTCAAATATGGTAGCCACTAGCTACATGTGGTTACTGAGCACTTGAAATGTGCTAGGGTGACAGGAGAACTGACCTTTTAATTTTATTTAATTTTACTTAATTTAAACTTAAATAGCTGTATGTGGCTAGTGGGCATCATGTTGGACAATTCAGCTCTATAGGATAATATTGTGGCATAATCGTTTCCCCAAAAGTCATATAAATGTTCTCATAAATCTAGAGTTGTATACAATTATTCACAAACTTCAAGGGTTGAACGATAACAAATTAATGATATTATTGCAATTTAAGACATATCTGAGAATACTAAAGAGGAAAACTTTTATAATTGGCAGGAGTCATATGACTAAGAAGGGTTACTATCCAATCGATCGCTTAGAAAAGAGTTAACATCTTCAGTATCAAAAGTAAGTCAAACATACATTAATTTTGAGACCTTAAGATAAACAAGTTTCTTCTGTTACCCTGGGGCTGGGGGGTATGCTGTCACATAGCATTTTCTCCCAGTGCTGGAAAGACTCCACTATTTTATGTTAGGTATTTTTCTGAAACTTTTAAAAGCAAATGGAGTCCCCAAATGGGGTGATTACCATTTTTATTTTTATTTTTTTTTTGTGGTTAAGTGGATGATAGGGAGAATGGTAAAAGGGAGAAAGATACCTAGGAAGAATAAAGAAAAGAAGGTGAGAAAAATGATGTGAAAGTATTTTTTAGTAGATCAAGGTAGTGGGGGATTTCATTTACTACTTTGTGATGGTTATTTAATCCTAGTTCCAGTTGTAATTCAATGTTATTTCATTGAACTAAACTCACATTTTCTGTCAAAATATTTAAGTTTGAGCAAACATGGCCTAGATTCATATTCAATAATAATGGCTAATAATGTAACTATATCTCTACTACGAATTTCAAAGACAAATCTAAAATATAAGTAATCTTTCATTTATTATAATTTATTGTTTAGAATCATACTTAGATGTTACCTTAAATGATTTAAAATGCCCAAATCTTATTTAAATGGTGGTAATTTTTAGAAATGAGAATTTAGCTATAACAAAAACAATGGCCACTTTATGGGCACTGAAACAGAATAAAAACATTACCATTAACTATATCTTTCTGGCTTTTTGCTGATTTCTTTAATTTACCTTTAGTTTCCTCCTTGCATTGAATTTCCTCAGTTGCTCTACTGTTTCTGGAAGATGAATCTTGTAGGCATAACGATCCCGCTCCTATAAAAGACAAAAGATAGTGAATGTTATGAAACTGTTTTAAAAAGTGAAGAAGCTTAATCTAAAACAAACAACAAAGCTCAAATTCTTAAATGCAAAACTTAGATTGAATTCTAGGAGATTGCAGATTTTACTCTATGATAGTGATAAGTAATCTGAAATGAAGATATGAAGGTTAAAACTGATAGTAAAATAATACTTTATTTTCAGCAATAATAAATGGCTGAAACAATAGATAACATAATTTTCAGATATATCGCTATGTGGCTAACATAATCATAACTATTATGAAGTTATCAAGTTACCTTTGACATGATTTGTCAGATAAAATGAGCATTTGAAAAATTAATTCCACTATTGATCCAGCATTCTACGTTGTCAGGAATAACTGGACTACAAAATCACAGAATCTTTGAACTCCATGCTGAGTCCACTTTCATTCTCAATGGATGATCATTCTGTTTGACCTCACCCAGTAGGAGATCATTACTTTCTGGCAGCCCATTACAATTTTAAGAAATTGTAATTTTAAAAATGTACATTCTCAGCTTAGGCCCACATCGGGCTTGTTTAGGCTAGTTTTGTCTTTTGGGGCAACACAGAGGGGGATCATGCTCCCACTAAATCTATTTTTCTCTGAAAGAATGCCTCCAGTTGCCTCAACTATTCCTTATGTATATTTCAAATGTCTTGTTATTCTTCTTCTCCCCCTTTGGTTCTACTGTAATTTGCCAATGTATCTTAAAGATTTATATGCTGTAAGCACTCATTCATTTCATAAATATTTCTTGAGAGCCTACTATGTGCCAAGCATTGTAAAACCAACAAAGATACCAGCCCTCATGTAGTCCATATTCTAGTGGGAGGAGATGAGAAAACACAAAAAAGGTAAATTACAGAGTATGTCAAAAGTACTATGGAATAAAGCAAAAAGTAAAGCAAAGTAAGAGGGTTTGGGTACACTTCAATTTAAAATAGTGTGGTCAGAGTAAGCCCAATTGAGAAGGTAACATTCAAAAGAGGTGAGGGAGTGGTCTAGGCAGAAAGAACCATCAATGCAAAGGCTCGAGGAAGGCAGTGTGTGTGGAATTTTCAAGAAGTGGCAAGGAGACCAATGCATGTGCAAAGTGAAGTGACTGGGTGTGGGGAGAACAGTGGATCAGATCAGAGACATGACAAGGCTGGGGTAGAGCCATGAAACACTTTTGGCTTCTTTTCTGAGGGGGAGAGAGAGCTACTGGAGAGTCTTGAGCTAATGTAGCATGATCTGACTTAACTTTATGTTTTATTTATTTTTTTGGAGACAGGGTTTTGCTGTGTCTCACAGGCTGGAGTGCAGTGGGTTCATCATAACTCACTGTAACCTCAAACTCCTGGGCTCAAGTGATCCTCCTGCCTCGGCCTCTCAAGTAGCTGGGACTACAGGCACGTGTCACCATGCCCGGCTAATTTTTGTGTTTTTTTTGTAGAGATAGGGATCTTGCTATTTTGCCCAGGCTGGTCTTAAACTCCTGGCTTCAGGTGATCGTCCTGCCTTGGCCTCTCAAAGTGCCAAAAATTACAGGTGTGAGCCAACACACCTGGGCCATGATTTAACTTCAAAGGAACATCCTGGTGGTTGAGCTGAGAATAGACTTTGAAGGGGATAAGAGTTTTAAAAAAAGAAAAAGTAGGAAGACCAGTTAAGAGGCTATTATAGTCACCCAGGTGAAAGAGGATGGTGGATGAAACCAGATGGAAATAATAAAAATGGCAAAAGAGAGATAGACTCTGAATATTATATGTTTTTTGTTTTCTCCCAAAAGCTTAACTGAAGTAAATTAGTATATGATAAATGCACATATTTAAAATGTACAATTGATAAGTTTTGACATATGTCTATAACCATAAAACCATCACCACAATCAAGATAATGAACATACCCATCACTCTCAAAAGTATCCTTGTGCCCTTTTGTAATCCCCTTTCCCCATCCCCAGGGAGCCACTGATCTACTTTCTGTCAACAAAGATAAGTTTGCATTTTCTAGAATTGTATGTAAGTGGAATCATACAGAATGTGCTCATTATTATCCAGCTGCTACTCAGCATGATTTTGAATTCATCTATGCTGTTGCATATATCAATTGTTCATTCCTTTTTATTGCTGAGTGGTATTCCACTGTATGGATATATCCTATAATTTGTTTATCCTTTTACCTGTTGATGGACCCTAGCTTGTTTCCAATTTTTGGCTATTCTGTACAAAGCCGCTGTGAGCATTCATGTATAAGTCTTTGTATGAAGGTATGTTTCATTTCTCTCAGGTAAATACTAAGGAGCAGAATGGCTGGGCCATATGATAGTAGTACGTTTAACTGCCCAACTGCCAACTGAAACTGCCCAACTGTTTTCCAAAGTGGTTGTACCATTCTACATTCCCACTAGCAGTGCATGAGTTTCAATTGTTTTACATCCTCACCAACACTTGCTATGGTCAGTCTTTCTGATTTTAGCCATTCTAATACATGTGTACAGGTATCTCACTGTGGCATTAATTTGTATTTCCCTAATGACTAATGAGGCTGAGTGAGCATCTTTGCTTATGCTTATTGGCCATCTGTATATCTTCTTTGTTGAAGTGTCTGTTCAAATCTTCTCCCATTTTGAATTGAGTTGTTTGTTTTCTTGAGTTTTGAGACTTCTTTACATATTCTGGATATAAGTCCTTTTCAGATATATAATTTGCAAATATTTACTTCCAGTTTGTAGCTTGTTTCTTTACCCTCTTAACAATATTTTTCAAAGAACAGAAGTTTTTAGTTCTGCATATATTGTGAAAGTAGAGAGAATATGGTTTTCTAAAAGATTGGATATGGGGTATGAGAGAAAGAGAGGAGTCAATAACAATAGCAAGGTTTTCGGTGCGAGCACCAACTGTGATAGGGAAGGCTGAGGCAGGCAGTCTGAAAGATGCATGTCATGCCTGGATTCTAGAGCAACAAACAGGTAATAGAGATGATTTTTAAATGCCCTATTCAACAGAATAAACAGGTTTTCTAAAGTCTACTGTTTTGGCCAGTTATCGATAACAAAGAAACTGAAGATTCAAAAGTGAAGCGTTAAAGTGACTACCCAGTGACGAGACAGAATATACACAGTTCATCTTATGCCTCCACTAATTCCACTAAAAACCCTGAATACGATATATAAAGCAACTAACTGAAGACTCTGAAAGCTGGAGGAAAGAAGGTAGAGTGGGTAGGGATTCCACTTGAAGGGCAATCCTGTGGTATAATTGCCAATTTTTTTTTTGGCCTCCTAATATAGACTAGTCTGGGTATGAGAGCAGCCTGCAACCTAGAAACTTTAAAGACTAGAAACTTCAAAGACTAGGAGAGCAGACAAAATGGGCTCCCCAAAAGCCCACTCTCTTTAGCCAAAAAACTGAGAAGAGGTAGTTGCTGCAGGACAGAATCCTTTCTGCGTCTTTCTGTTATATTAGCATCATTTGAAAATCTATTTCACAGCCTGGCTGTGCCTTTTTCTTTCTAACAGATCGGGAAATTTACTGTATATCTGACTGTGAACTCTATTTCTAGTGAACACCTTTTCTGCTCACCATTCACTAAGGTGAAGTGGAGAGATAAGGACAAAAAGGTTTTCTTAAAAAATAAAATTATGCTTCAATTATGGTTTCTCATATTTTCTAAGATGATGAAATCATGAGATTTAAGAAAAGTCCATGGCTGGGCGCAGTGAGTGGCTGATGTCTGTAATCCCAGCACTCTGGGAGGCCAAAGCCGGAGGATTGCTTGAGGTCAGGAGTTCGAGACCAGCCTGACCAAGAGGGAGATCTTATCTCTACTAAAAATAGAAAAAAATAACTGGGTGTGTTGGCATGCACCTGTAGTCCCAGCTACTCAGGAGGCTGATGCAGGAGGATTGCTTGAGCCCAGGAGTTTGAGGTTGCTGTGAGCTAGGCTGACGCCATGGCACTCTAGCCTGGGCAACAGAGCAAGACTGTCACACACACATACACACACACACAAAGGTCTGTTACAATATCTCTTACCAGAAAACAAGCAATAAAAAAACCCTCAAAGCATTATAAATCAGACAACAGAGTAAAAATAATATTTTTCTGTATTAAATATTCCCTCCTGACACTAATAATAATGTGATATGAATTGAGAAAAATTTCTATAGCAATTTGCCTTGCACTTTAATGAAGTATATGATTCATAGTCCCTTGTGCACACTAGATACTGAATACACATTTAATTGGTGTGTTGATTGATTTTTCCACAATTCAAATTGATTAGGCTGAGATAAATACCTTTCCACCTTTTATTACATTGAATATAATTTACAGTCTACATATTAAGGCTACAAAGGGTGTGAGAAGAGCTCAACCATGTATGGGGAAAGTACAATCTTAGTTGGCTTACTTTTGTTGGAATAAATATTCACAGCAAGCATCATTAATTCAGATAGATAAAAGTGTTAAATAGGTATAATTTAACAATCATAAGATATAAGACATTCACGTATTACTTAGTCTAATACTCAAATTCTTTTTTTTTTGATATGAAATGATTGAAGAGGACATTGCATTTCTCGTGGTTTTACCAAAAAAAACAATTTCTTATCTTGTTTTTTTTTTTTTTTTTTTACGTAAAGCAATGGTACTATGACTTTGGGCACTCTTCATTATAAGGATTTTCATCATTTTATTTCTTCACTTTGCAGTTATTCAGGAGTTTTTCATATTTAAGCCACAGCTTCCATTTTAGTCATTCTAAATTAACACCACTTACATACATAGTAATGATTTATAAATATACACGGACAAGTGTTGAAATATAAGTCTGCTTTCACCAGACAGATAATATACTCATTGAATTCTTTCATCTTCAGATGACACATAAGAAATGAAGTTAAACTATACTTCAGACATGGACATGGCATGTAGCACTGAGCTCAAACAGCATTTCTAGAACTTTTAAAAAGTTACTGATA